AATGGGTTAATGTTGGACTTGTGGGCTTGGGCAGCATTGGGTTGGGATGTTTTCGTGATGCACATTTTCTTTACATAAAATTCTCTCTTATCCATGAGTTGCTGTGGATTTGTTTCTCCAAAGTACCTAGACTAATACACAAGGATTAGGGTGGGATGCACCAGTTTCACTCAGGTCCCAGCCCTGGCTGGATGCAAGGAGCGTTTCCCTGGGTGTGGCCTGAATCACTTTTAATCGTAGAAGAGATGAAAAGAGAGAAGAGTGAGTAGAAGAGAAGAACAGGACCTTCGCCAGGGAAGAAGAGCCAGGGTCTTTGTGCTGAGAGCCTGCTAGACTCGGGGGAAGATTGATGCCAAGATACACGTAGATCTCTGTGGGAAACAGAGAGATTTCTCCCAAGTTATCTCCCCCAAATATATGTCAAACTTAGCTGCTTGCGAATGACTATACATCTGGAGGTCATCAGAAGTACATCAGGGGTTATTCTCCCTAAGGGTTATCAGCCATCTAGAGCAAGCAGTCACCACTGTTTATCCCACAACAAGTAGGGCCCACTCCCTTCTGATAAGGATAGCAGTTGTCTGTTTCCTTGTAGGAGACCCCAGAGAGGTCAAGCCCACCCAAGGATGACCAAGATTAGGGCGCCGCCATGAATTTAGGGTCCACCCTTCTTGTTACATGTATACCTCTAGTCCCTCCCCTTCCTATGTGCCTACCCCTAGCTCTTCCCCTTCCTGTCATGCTTATGCCTATCGTGCATCCCCTTCCTATGATGTGTATGCCTATTGTACTGCCCCTTCCTGTGACATGTGGTTACCTGTAATCATGCCCCCTGAAGTAATTATAACCCTTGGTTAGCAATACAGTGTGGGCGCTCTCCTGCTCTCGCTCTGGGGCTCTCCCCACGAGGACCACCAAGTGGGGTTGAGGTGAGCATGCTACCATGAATTGTTGCTGACTCCAGTACTTCAATCTCTCTTCTACCTCTCATGCTCTCTATGACTTTACTATAATCTTTACTTATCATCGCCGTACAATTGCGCCTGCCGGACCTGTGATGATTTGTTGGGGGCCCTCCTATCCCCCGCAGATCTCCAAGGAACGCCAGGCCCACACAGGTTGAAATGGGAACAGGACCTGTTCCCCAGGAAGGAAAGGGAAAACCTTTCCCCAAGATCTGGTGCTCGCATGGACTTCAGCCTCCTGAGAAGAAATTTGTTTGTGAAAGCGGCCTGCTCGTGGTGTTTCTGCTGCAGTCGGAGCCACCTGTGGTGGTGACATCATCTCCTGTCAACTTGAGTGAAGAGGTGGAGTCTAGCCTGTCAATCAGGTCCTAGCCCATAATGCCCCTGTGTGGGCATGCCCTTCTCCTGAGGATTCTGGGAACTCCTGTCTTCCTTCCTGGAGGAGGGACACACACTGTCTCTGCTTCACATTCTGTTGACAAGCCACATGAAGCTACACGTATGGCCGCTAATGCTCTGGAGCTGGAGGACCACGTGGAGAATCGAGCCAGCACTGAGATGCTTCCACAGACTTTTCACTCACTGGCCTGTGACCTTCCTCCTTTCAGCATCACTGCATGTGCTGTGTGAGTCTGTAGAATTTATGGACTAGTATCAGACATATGGGCTAATATTGGACTTATGGACTTGATCTGGACTGGGCTGGGATGTTTTCTCAATATACAATTACACTTTGATATAAACTCTTATACACACAGGAGTGTCTCTGGATTTGTTTCTCTAGTCAACTCTGCCTAACACACCACGTCACAGGGTTACTGTGAGGACAACATGGGCTAACACCAGCCAAGTGCACAGAGTCATGCCTGCCGGGCCAGAAGTAGGCAGGGTGGCTGCTATCCTAGTGTTGTGCCCACTGCAGTTGGATCCATTGTGGCAGCTGTCTGCAAACTGCCTCACTCCCCCGCCTCATCTCCTGCCGATCACTGCTGTCCACACCGCCCCAGGGCCACCTACACATTGGGCACGTGCCAAGGGAAGGCTTTCGAGGTTCTTGTGCCACCGCCAGCATGGGCTACAAGTTTTTCAGGGCATTATTCCACTCTGTTGTGTTTTGTCTCCCATCTCGCACCAAGCCCAAAGCTAGGCTCTCCAACAGTGCATAACGGATACAGAATGAAGCAAAGAGTCAGAAGGTTCTATGTTATGGGAAAGTTTTTGCTTGGGATGACCCGGAGAAGTGGCATTCCCGGAAACGAAAGCGGATGAGCTTTTAGAGCCACCATGGCCATGTATGGTTGAGCCCCCCGCCTAAGGACATAAATTGGGGCTACTATCTAGTTTATTTGCTGTTTTCCAAGTCATGTGTTAGCTCATAGCGTCTTCCCAGAGGTATCTTCTTCTTTTTCTTCTTCAAACTACTTATTTTAATCATTTTAGATTTACCAGAAAGTTGCAAAGATGGTAGAGTGTTCCCACTTACTCTTCATCCATGTTTCCCTCGTGTTAACATATAACCTCAGCATGTATATCAAAACTAAGAAATTAACATTGGGGGATATATGAGTAACTAGCATTCCGGTATTTGGGATCTCACTGCTTTCCCACCACAATGGCCCTTTTTCTGGTCCATGATCCCATGGGCGGGCGTTTAGTGCAGCATTCGTGAGATGAACACATAGGTTGCCCTAGGGGCTAGTGGTGAACAGGGAAAGAGCCTGGATCTAGGGGAATATCCCAAGATGCCACATGAGACAGAAGCATGAGGGGGAGTGGGTTGGGGGTGGGGTGGGATAGAACATGTGATTTTTCCCCTGGCAGGCTGCGTGGCAGGAAATAATCCCGCATCTCAGTGCATGCCAACCACAGAAGGGGGAAAAAAACCCAAACCCCTCAACATTTGTTGGTTTGTTAAGAATGGACTTGCCAAGTGGTAGGCCCTTGGGGGAAGCTGCATTTCCCTTCCTGCAAAGCCCGTTCCATCCAGCTTGTGTGGGCAGCCGGGGGAACGTTCCTCCTGCAGGCCAAGGTGGCCACTCTGTGCAACAGCTGGGCTCTACCCTTCCCCTGGGAGGGTACTGGAAGGTTTGTGTGTCTGCTGGCTGCTCTCTCAGCTTGTCCTGAGTGACCAGTCTGGAGTCGGGAACCTATGGCAGGACCCCTCTCTTGTCCTTGCCCCCCAGAGTGGGAAGGGACCAGGTGGAGAGAAGCAGCAATGAACCTCCCACCCCTCTGAGCCACAGACTCAGGCTCTGTCCCCACAAACAGCATCGAGTGCCAGAGAGTGTGGAGTCACCTGGCCCTGGGTTGGATTTCAGCCTGGGTGGAGGCAGGGAGACCCCTGACTTCCGGAATCCTTGGTTTCTGCTTCTGCAGAATGGGGCCCTGGGGTCTGGCTCCCAGGGGCTGAGGTGGAAAGTAGCACCTGCCACCTTGCAGGGCAGGGGTCCAGCCTGTGGAGGGCACAGCCTAGCACTGCCCTCCAAGTTCCCTTCTTGTTCAGGACCCCCCGCCACTGGTCCCAACCGCCTGCTTACCTCAGCATCCCACTCCATATCTCCCCATCCTTCCAACTCAGGGGTTCCCACATGGGCTCTGGCTTGGGGCTGGGGTGAGCTCTTACTGTTCCCCCAGTCCCTTCTCTCTACCACCACCTGCAGTGCCAGCTCCAATGCCACCTGCTGGCCACCAGCTCTCCCTTGCTCTGTCCCCTGCAGCCTCATCTCTTCCGGCCTTGCTTAATAGGCACCCCCAAAAGGGCTGGCCTTCACCTCAGGGACGGACAAGTGTGAAGCCCCAGAAGCAGCTGTGTCCTGTACCCCAGACTCACGTGGTGTTCAGTGGGCACCCGGGAAATGTGGACTGGGTTCTGGTGGAGCAAACTGTGTCCCTGCCCCAGGCCAGGAAGCAACCCCTCCCAGTTGAGAGTCCTATGCCCCCGCAGGTGCCCAGCGCAGAGGTGACCACTGGGGCCCTGAGCCTGGCCCAGCCTCTACAGGCCCCGAGGTGCTCTGGCAGACCGCACGCCCCGCCTTCTGCAAACGGCCGTGGGGGATCAGATTGGGTAAGTTCCCCTTCCGCTTCCTCTGCCTCCCGTCCCTCTGCCACTGTCCCCGTCAGTGCCTCGCAGGCTCTCCACACCCCTGGTGCCCGCAGAGCCGCTCCTTGCCCTCAGCTGTCACCACCCAGGCCCCAGACACCATGCAGGCCATCAAGTGTGTGGTGGTGGGAGATGGGTAAGTACCTGACAGGGCTGCTCACTGCCCCCCACCCCAGGGGACCCAGAGATCTTCCCGCCTGCTGCCCCTGGTTAGGGGTGGGCGGTGGGTGGGGGGAAGGGGGAGGATGCCCGCAGGTGAGGTTCTTGGGAGGCAGCCGGGAGGAGCCACATTCTTCTTCACCCAGGACCCAGAGGGAGGACCCTGGGGTGAGCCGCAAACAGACAGTTTCATGCTCTGGCCCAACCCCCCCTGGAAGCTGCCTGGGTGCAGGATTATGGGTGGGGGCCTGGGACTCCCGGTCTGTTCCCTGAGTGCCACTGGTGGTAGGTCTTCCCTGGCGATGTGTGCCATCCTTCAGTGCTGTGGGTGCCAGTGGGGCGGGGTCCCTGATGTGTGGGTTCCAATCAAAGGCTGGGCCCTGCTGTGTGCTGTTGGGCAAGTTGCAGCCTCACTCCGGAGCTCAGCTCAGCTCAGTCGCTGGAAGAGGCAAGGGTGCAGGCCACCGAGGGGGATGGGAGAATGAATCTCTTGAGACATTTCGACTGGCTGCCTGTCCTCCGAGTGTGCTCAGAACTGCTGCCCCCACCCCCCTTTCCTCCTCCTCCTCTTCCTTGCAGCTGGTCCGTGAGTGAGGTTGGCAACCACTACTTTTTCAGCCTGCCTGCTGAGGGGGCAGTGGAGGGCACGGGGGTGGGGAGCAGAAGGGTGGAAGTAGGAAATGGAAGTAGGGAAGTGGGGATGGATGAGCTGGGCTGAGGGTCCATCCCAGCTGTCTACACGCAGTGACCTCAGGTGGTCGTGCCCCTCCCCCAGGCCTCAGTTTCCTCATCAATAATTCTCATACAGCCACCTCAGCCCCTCTCTAGGGGGTTTCCCCAAGTCCACCTGGCATGTCCAGCTCTCCCATTCTCCAGAGGGACAACGTGGAGTCTTGAGAGACAGACCAGGCCCTTTCCCAGAGGTCCTGGGTCCTAAAGGCTGAGATGCTGGCTGGTGGGGTCCTGCCAGGCCCGGGCAGGTTATCCGTCCTCAGCTGATTGTCATTCACAGCTGCCGCCTGCCCGCTGCCCACCCCTGGTCACTTCTGCTTTGCATCGGAGCTGAGCAGGGGAGGGAGGAAGTCTAGGGCAAAGTCCCAGTCCTTCGAATTACCTTGGTGGCCTGGCCCAGGAAGGCAGTGGGGGGTGGGGTGGAACAGGAAGTGACTGATCTGAGCAGGCCCTGGGCCTCTGAGGCTCCAGTAGCTATAGCAGGTTGCCTGGGCCCCTCTCCTACCAGCAGCCCGAGCATGCAGACAGCTTGCACAAGGACCCGCACTGTTCATTTGGCACTGGCTCGTCTCACGTGCAGAGCTTGGCCTGCGCCTCTGGTCATCCTCCCCCAGTGCGAGTCAGGCTCATTTCACAGGTGTGAAGACCGACGCTCAGAGAAGGTGCATCCTCATCCCCGACCTGTGGGGATTTGAACTTCTATCCTTCATGGAGAAGTGGGAGGAAAAAAAGAGGACGGAGGGGAGTGGCAGGTGCCTCCAAACCAAACTTGTGCCCCCCCACCCCCCCAGCTCATGGCCACCCTGTGTGTGGCAGAGGGCAACTGCCCGGCACAAGAAAGTTAGACTCACTGCCATCAAATCCGTTCAGACTCCTAGCGACCCCGTGGGACAGAGCAGAACCCGCCTGGTGGGTTTCCAAGGCTGTCAATCTTTGCGAGAGCAGAAAGCCTCGTCTTTCGCCCATGGAGCAACGGGAGGGTTTGCGCAGCCGGTCTTGTGATAAACAGCCCACAGAGCAGGCCACCAGGGCTACAGAACTGACCGGCAGCAGGCTAGCCTCTCCCAACCACACCGCAGTGTGCCCGTGGGCATGGGCGAGCACTGGGTTCTAGATGAGGAAACGGAGGCATCCGGTTAAGTGACTTGCCCATGGCCATGCCGCTAGGACAGCCAAGCCAGAGTCTGGACCCCAGGAACAGGAGTGACAGGGCATGTCTCTTGGACACTGGACACCACCCACCCCTCTACCTCCCACCTCCCACCTCCCACCCGCCTTCCCTTGAGCATCCACACCGCCTAGGAAAGGAGGTCAGAATCCCCCGGGGAAGGGCCCATCAGACACTCGAATGTGCACTCAGGGGTGAGACCAGATCAGGATGCTGGGGGGCAGGGAGGAAGGGAGTGTCCGATGGGTTGGTTGTCCGGTCCTGAGTGTGGGATGGGGGCTCAGAAACGTTCCCGAGGGTCTCAGGTCTCAGACAGGCCCATGATCTATCTCTGCACTTCCTGTCTTTCAGAGCAGTGGGCAAGACCTGCCTACTTATCAGCTACACCACCAACGCCTTCCCGGGAGAGTACATCCCCACCGTGTGAGTGCTGGGCCAGGGCAGCGGGGTGGGATGCTGGGCTGGGCATTGGGGGTGGAGCACTTGGTGATGCACTAGTCCCAACTGGGTGGTGGGAGGAAGGGAGAGGGGGAGAGAGATAGGAGACTGGTAGGAGGAAGGGGGAGGCGACCTTCAAGGGGGCCTCAAGACCCTGGAGCCAAGGGCAGGGGGCATGCAGAAGGGGTCGAGGGAAGAAGGGCTTGAATCAGAGGTACAGAGGCCCTGGGGAACACAGCTGCACAGTCTGGATGGAGAAGGGGACTCAGGCCTCCACCCCCTCACTCACAAACCCTCAGTGCCTGCCACTCACAGCACAGCCCTCGGTGCCAGTCAACCCTTTCTGGCCTCCCTTGGGTGCCCCCGGCCAGCTTCCAAAGCCCCTGGCTCCATGCACCTCCCCCTGGTCACCGGATACCCACACAGAGGGTCTCTCCTCAGCTGTTCCCTGGGCCCTCGGGCATTGCTTCTCCTGTCAAGGAGCCTAAGGCCTGCAGGCCCAGCCCAATGCCCCCTCCTCCAGGAAGCCTCTCCTGGCCCCGAGTTGGTCCCTCTCCCCACTGGCCCTCAGTCCATTTGGAGACCCCTAGTGCCGTGGTCCAGGGACTCAGACACAGCAGCTGCTGAATATGCGTGTTGAGCCGACCTGCACTGAGTTTCAGTGAGAGGCCCTGGGAGGACCGAGTATCGGGCTGTCTGTCCAGGGTCTTCTGGGTGCCGGGTCCTGCACCAGCATGACCCCAGGACCCCCAGAGGAAGTGGAGGAGTACGGCATCTGCCTGGCCACAGGACCGGGCCCACTGTAGAGCCTCGAGGGACCCTGGTGTCTTGACCTTGCTCTCGTTGTGTCCTGCCAGCTCCAGCTCAGGGTCAGCCCCTGCACAGGAGGAGGCAGCCATGCCTGGCCTGCGTTGAGCCCAGGGTGCAGCCTCGGTGTGTTCTAAGGGTCTCCCTACCCAGAGGGCTCATTTCCCAACATGTGGCACCTTCAGCGGGGCCGCAAAGACTGTGGATGGGAGGGGAGGGCTGCATGCCCCCAGCGCTGACTTCCAGACCACAGGTGCTCAGCGCTGGACGGGCTCATAGAGGCTCCACACCCTGCTGGGACAGGAGGTAGGGGTAAGGGAGGGGGGCACCAGAACTCAACCAAACCCACTGCCTTCTGGTCAATTCCCACTCATGGCTTTCCTTCACAGAGTTTCTGAGGTAGACCCTCATAATGGGAGTGACAGGCTGGTCTCATTCTCTCATAGAGAGCCTGGTGGGGTTGAACCACCGACCTTGAGATTAGCAGGCCAAAGCTTACCCGGCAGGGCCACCAGGGCTCCGTGCCTCTGTGACGCAGAGCATGCAAGTGGTCACGCTGAGTCTTTGACATTGGAGGGACTGGAGAGTGGGGGCCGGGGGAGACCCTGGAAAGGCAGGCAGCCCAAGGTCTCCGTTGCCTGGAGATGAGGTTGAGGATGAGGTTGAGCGAGCTTCCGGGCAGGAGGGCATGGGGGTGGGGTGCTGGGGAGCATGTGCTGTGGGCTGAGATCAGATAAGCCAAGCAGGCTGGTGCTGGGCGGCTGCCAGCAGTTGGGGGTTAGCAGATCACAGGGTGGGGGTGGGGGTGGCCTCCTGGATGCGTGGCTTTTAGGCAGAACAACATCTTCCTAGTGGGGGTTTGTAGTAGCCAATCAGGCACCAAGACCTTGGGAAGCCGCCCGCTGATTGGCTCTCGCTCGCCCCATAATTAGAGTCGGTTCAGCTCTGCCCAAGTTGTATACTGGGGACATTGAGGCCCAGGGAGGTCACCTCACCCTGCCACCTTGGCATCTATGTCCTGGATCCAGGGACATAGACCAGGGTCCGGAGCGCACCAGGAGAATTTCGAGTCCTGAGACGGAGGCCTGCTCGGTGGCTGTGGGGGACACAAAGACCCTGCAGGCATACCCTGCCCCAGGTGGGTGCCTGAGCCACACAAGGCCAGCGCCCGCCCTTGCAGCCTGCACTCAGACTGTGGGAGCTGCGAAAACTGAACACCCGAGCAGCCGAGGCTCTCCCATGGAGCCCTTTATGGGAACCGCATGCGTCCACAGCAGGGCGATGGTGAGGACCGGAGGACGGCGCAGGACCGGGCCGGCTTTCCTTCCTGGTCTCCAGACTCAATCGATCGCTGTGGGTCGGAAGCGACGCCCCCCAGCCCGAGCAACCCTTTGTGGTGGCCCTGCAGTTTGAGAGCGGACCTCGGGCTGTGGCATTCTGGGCACTAGGGCCTGGCTGGCTCCCTCCCTCCCGCTCCCCCTGCCCAGTCTTTGCGCTTATGCCAATGATTCTCAACCTGTGGGTCGCGACCCCTTTGGGGGTCTTATGACCCTTTCACAGGTGTCACCCGATTTATAACAGTAGTTAAATGACAGCGATGACGTAGCAACAGAAATAATTTTATGGTTGGGGTGGGGGGAGTCACCACCACATGAACTGTATGAAAGGATCACGGCATGAGGAAGGTTGAGAACCACTGGATTCTGCGCTTCTGCTTACATCACCTGGGCCTGCCCCCACCCCCAGGTGCCCAGCTCCTCTCTTCTTTCTGTTCTCTGCTCAGATTTCACCCCTGACCTAAGCCTCCCACCCCCTCCCCCTATATCTGTTCTAGCCCTGAGCTCAGGGCCGGTCAGGCTGCCCTGGCTGCAGGTACTGGGCATGCCTTACAACCCCTGGGCTGTGGCCTGCAGGAAGGAAGGCCACACTGTCCAGCTAGGTTGTATTGTCTAGCACTGGATGGTCACCTTCACGCATCATGCCCTTGCCACGGGACTGCCCAATCCAGCTGCAATGCCCACAGGCAGAGTGGTGTCCGGTGTGTGTGCGTGCGGGGGACGTCAAGCCTCCTCCCTGCTCCTCTCCGGGACTTCTCCCCAGCTGCCCGCTCACCACTGCTTGCTGCCATTGCGTGGCCCCCACGTACGCACAGCAGAGCCCCCATGCACAGTGGGACGGGCCTATTGGGATCCACCAAGCCTTTCTAACTAGTCCATCTTATCTGGAAGCTCTGCTGACACCTGGTCAGCCCTCACAGAGGAGGAGTGGTGGCTGCCCATGAGGGACCCTGCCTGGGAATCAAATTCTCCCCTGAGGCCACCCTCTCCCCACCTGGCTGCCAAAGCAGCCTTTCTTAAACGCAGCTTGGACCCCCCTTAAGCCCTTCCATGGCTCCCACTGCCCAGAGGATTAAGGTCAAATGCCTGCCAGTGTCCACAACTGGCTTGGTCTGGTCAGTTCTCCTTCACCCCAAGCCACCAGCTATACCCCCACCCCTCCCCCACTATGCCCACCATCTTCTCCCCTCAGGAGAGGCCCCCTGTACCTGCACCCACCCTTTCCCCATGCCATTCCTGAGCCCAGTGCATCAGGATGGCATGCCCCCATGCCTGCAGCCCTGGGAGCACCCATGCTGAGTGTAAATGGGGGACAGGATGCTCCTGGTGGCACAAATGGCCAAGTGCCAGATACTAACTGCCAGGTTGGCTGTTCAGACCTGTCCAGAGGCAGCTCAGAAGAATCTGCTTCCCAAGACCCTACGGAGCCGTCCTGCTGGGCGCCCACGAGGTCACCATGAGGCAGAGCCCACCCAACAGTGACCAGTGAGGACAAGAAAGGGGGACAAGGCTAGAATCTGCTTGCTGGGCCCAGCTGCTCCTCGCCCTCTCCACAGCTCGGGGTCATCACCCCTGGCCCCTGGCCCCCACGTCCCAGCTTGAGCTGGGTGGAGTCTCCGGCCAGGAGACAGCAGCGATGCTTATCCCACGGGCTTCTGTGAACTGTGTCACAGGAATTAGCCCGTGTTGTGCTGCCCACAGTCTCTGCAGTCTTGGGCAAGCGGTTTGTTGTCTCAGCCTCAGTGTCCTCTTCTGGAGCATGGGGGCAAGGATTGGGGTTGGCCACGCTGGCTCAGGCCACCTGTGAGCCTCTGCTATAAGGGGGTTCTGGGAGTCAATTCCTCCCATGGACCCTGGGAGAGGCCTGGAGGAGGGGGCTTTGCGGGGCATCGAACGCAAGACTGCTTGACTCTTTGGCATCGCCCAACAGGGTGGCTTGAACGGCTTCTGTCTGGTTGGCTTCTTCAACCAGTCCGGCTGGTGCAATGGGTTACATGTTAGCCTGGTAACCTGAAGGTTGGTGGTTTGAACCCACCAGCCACTCCCTGGAAGAATGATGAGGCCGTCTGCTTTGGTAAAGATTTGCAGTAAGAAGGAATTAACTTGAGAGCAGTGAGGGTCATTAAAACACACACACACACACACACACACACACACACACACAAACACTAGTCCAGGGGGTAGGAAAGAGGAGCCCTGGTGGTATAGTGGCCATGTGTTGGGCAGTGAACTGCAAGGTCAGCAGTACGAAACCACCAGCTGCTCCTGGGGAGAAAGACAAGGCTTTCTACCCCTGTACAGAGTTAGTCTCTGAAACCCACAGAGGCAGTTCCACCCTAGCCTGCAGTGTTGCTATGAGTCGGCATTGATATATATAACTCCACTCACAACAAAGTCCTTCTGGCTAGGGCCCCATGGGGTTTCAAGGTCTCTTCCTGGCACCAGAATAGGCCCCCAGTGCCAGGACAGGTATCAGGTCCCCAGCTCGTCCCCATCACACCATTCTTGAGGCCTGGGGGAGAGCAGGAGAAGACAGAGACTCGAGGAATCTTGAGAGGCTTTTTGGCACCAGCACTGCGGTCTGGACATGGTAGGAGAGTAAGGGAGGGGATCCCAATGCCCTAAGCTTCTTCCAAAGGAGGGTTTGTAGCCCCAGCCAAAGGCACCACCAGGAAAAATGACCCATGGCTGTGGAGTTGATTCCCACGCATGGGACCCCATCTCACAGTAGGACTGGCTTGGTGGCCAGTAGATCACCAGGCCTGTCCTCTTCTTGGTCATTTTCTGGGGCTCTTACAGCTCGTATCACAGTCCATACATCCATGTGCCAAGCACAATTGTACGTATGTTGCCATCATCCTTTTCAAAACATTTTCTTTCTATTTGACCCCTTGGTATCAGCTCCTCATTTTTTCCTATCTCCCCACCCTCCCTCATGGATCCTTGATAAATTACAAATTATTATTTTCATGTCTTATACCAACCGCTGTCTCCCTTAACCCACTTTTCTGTTGTTCATCCCCCTGGGGGGGCAGTTATATGTGTATCATTGTGATCAGTTCCTTCATTCTCCCCCCACCTTTCCCCCACCCTCATGGTATTGCTACTCCCATTATTGTTCCTGAGGGGTCTATCTGTCCTGCATTCCGTGTGTCGAGAGCTCTTATCTGTACCAGTGTACATGCTCTGGTCTAGGCAGATTTATAAGGTAGAACTGGGGTCATGTTCGGCGTGGGGGGGACACTAAAGAATGAGAAGAATGTTGTGTGTTTTGTCAGTGCTATACTGCACCCTGGCTGGCTCATCCCTTCCTTGTGACCCTTCTGTGAGGGATGTCCAGTTATCTACAGATGGGCTTTGGGTCTCTACCCCTCGTTCGCACCGATAAGATTTTTTGTTCTGGGTCTTCTGATGACAGCTCGTGACCACACAGGCCGGTGTGGGCTTGGTTGCTTCCCTGCTCGATGGCCAGGCCTTGCTTCTGAGGGACCTCTGGGTGACCTTAAGCTCCAGCCATTGGGTCGGCCCCCGAGTACACTAGCTGCCTGCACCACCCAGGGAAGGTGCCACGGACCCTCTCCCACCAGGCCTTCTCCCCGAGACCCCCGCCCTGGTGTCTAGCACCCTGCGCTGGCCCCAAGGTGCAGCAAGAAGCACCCTGGGCCCCTGCACCTTGGGCTCCCACTCTGTGGTGCTGAGTTTACCAAGAAGTGCGGGGTCAGGGCAGGCTTCCTGGAGGAGGGGACGTGGAGCTGGGTTGGAGGTGGGGCAGACAGAGAGTGGGTGTTAGGGCCATTTGAGGGACTCTGAGGTGACAGCATTTCTCTCTGGGACAACCGAGCGTGGGGTGCACCATGCCAGGCAGAACTGCGTATCCACGAGGGCTTCACAGAGGAGGTGGGACCGAAGGGCGTCAATCCCATTAGGTTTCATTTCATCACGCCTGCATTCACTGAGGAGAGCTCTCTAAACGGCTCTCCACAGTCAGGGTCTCCCACAGAATAGGAGGCATTCCCTCGGCGGGGTTTTGAAGCACGAGTAGGAGTTCAGTGTGACCAGGAGAGGGTGTTCTTGAGAGGCACAGACAGGAGCTGGGGCCTGCAGGGGGTGGGCAGGGAAGGGCCCTGTGGTCAGAAGTGGCTTGGCTCACGGGTGGAGGAAGGAGTATGAGGAGCAGTTGGAGGAGCCTGAGGTCTCAGTGGACCAGGTCAGGAGATGTGGGGGCAGGGATCTCCAGGAGGAGGGGAAGGGGTGACCTCTAACCCTCAGGGACAGCCCCTTGGAGGCACAGCTGTAGCATAGGTGTGGAGTCAGATGGAGCTGGCTTTTCACCCAGTTCGGTCCCTCACTGGCCACGTGGCCTTGGGTTAGTCACTATACCTCCCTGACTGACCCAAGCTTATCATCTGGGGTGTGAGACCC